GGGGAAAGAGACTAGGAGTGGCAGCTGACTCTCCTCCAGGCTGCATGGCCTGTTTCTTGAGAGGCAGGCAATAGGGAGGTAAAATAAGCCTAAAGAATATTTGGTATTGCATAAGCCTAAACTACTTCTGCAAGGCTATGTAAGAAACTGTTAACCAGGCTGAGGGTCAAAGGTGGAAGGGACACTTACTCTTCACTAAACTGTATTCCCTTTTGTACTATTTTGAAACATTTAAAATGAATTATAATAAAAATAAATAGAAAATATTGATAGTTTAAGAAAGTGAAAAAAAAAATAAAAGATTACTGGGTGAATGGATAGAGAGTGGCTGCAGCATAGTATTCTGGAAAAGACCCCATACCTCTGTTCAAGGCCAGGCCTGCTGTTTGTTGGGTGTGTGGCTTTGGATAAGTCACTTGTCTTCTCTGAGCTCCAGACTACTCTTAAAATGAGGCTCATTAAAGAAAGTGCTGAGGGACCAGCAGTTAGCATAATGACTATGTTGCTGGACCCCCATGTAGTCGACCGTGGTTTGAGTCCCAGATCCGGTGGCCTAAACTCAGACCAGGCGCATGTACGTACATGCCCAAGATCCCGAGAGGAGAATGGAGGAGAAGGGATTGTGGCATGGCCATCCCCCTGGGGGGTGATTTCTCGCTTTCTATCTCTCTGTCTCTCTCTTTTTGGTGAGTGCATGTGCCCTATAGCAAAAACCTGTCCAAAAAAAATTAAAAAAAGAAAAAGAAAGTGGTGCCAAGATACAGTGACTGCTTTAAAGAACAGAGTATAGTGCCTGACATGAGTAAGGAGTTGGCTGAGGTGTGAGTGGTCTGGTTGATAACCATTTGGCAAGCATTTCTTCAGGGCCTGCTCTGTGCCAAGAACTGTGTTGGGCAGTGGGGACATGAAGATGACCAAAGCCCAGTCTCTGCCCTGAAAGGGCATGCAGTCTGGTAGAGGAGATAAAAGAGGTGAACTTCAATATAATGTAGGGGTCTTAGATTATACAGGACTAAAATCTACCTCTCAGGTAGGTGAAGGGTTGAGAAGGTGATGCCTGAGCTATTGTTGAAGGATCAGTTGGAGCTTGAGTAACAAAGAGAAGGAAGTGGGGTGGCCAGTGGTGTGGGGGTTAAGGCATCTGAATCCCACATGGCCAACCATATGGTTCAAGACCTGGACCCAGCAGCTTGAAAAACATGCTGGATGTGTGTGCATGCTCAAAATTCTGAGAGGAGAATGGAGGAGAAGGGATTGTGGTAGGGCCAGCCCCCTGGGGAGTGCACATGTGCTTTCTTTTTCTCTCTGAGTGTGTGTGTGTGTTTCCTCTCCAGCGAGTACATGCACCCTATAGCATTAAAAAAAAAAAAAAAAAAAAGGAAGGAAATTGTGTTTCAAATGGTTTCAAATGGAGGGAGCAGCTTGAGTAAACATCTGTAGGTTTGAAACAGCCTAAGATGAACAAGGAACTGTAAGCACAACTCCTACAGCTGGTATGAGAGAGGGACAGAGGAAAAGGGTAATATGAGGTAAGACCAGCAAAGGAGGCAGAGCCCAGGTTGTGGAGGGGCTAACAAACAGTGCTCAGGGGTAAGAACTTTATCTAGTAGGTACTGAGGAGCTGAAGGAGGATTTTGAAGCAGGCAAATTCTAAGCAGTTTGTGTCAGTGGATTCAGGGTCCCCTGGTGGGTACCTACCCTGATTTAGTTCCTTTCTTTGTGATCAGGTGGATGTTGAAGCCCTGAACAACCAAGTGAAAGAGCAAAAGCTTCAGGAGGCAGCCGAGCGAAGCAAGGAGGCAGCCTATGGTAAAAGGCCAAGGCCAGGGGCCACATAAAGGAGGTCAAGGAAGACCCTGAGTGGGGCTAGAGGCCCTGGGGTGGAGGGGCAAACCAGATGGAGGGGCAAAACAGATGGAGGGGCAAACCAGATGGGAGCAGAAGCCACACTGAGTGGGCTCTGTAACTCCCATGGTGCTTTCTCTATGTCCCTGCCCACCACCTCTAGGTATCTATCAGATGCAGTATGATCTGGTAGCCCAGATGTTAGAGAAGGAACAGGCAGAACAGAGTCGTGGGCTGGCCAAGAAGGTCCAGGAATTTCGGGAACAGAAGCAGCAGCTCAAAAGCAGCTATGAATTTGACCTTGGTAATCCAGTCCAACTCTGGAATGAGTTTCCAGCCCATTTACGTGACAGTGATCCCTACTATGGCCCAGCTAGCCTGCAGTGCTTCTCTGGGGAAGACTTGGACAGAGCCATGTGCCTGAGAATGCAGCAGGAGCAGTTTAAGTACAACCTGGAGAAGCAGCTGGAGGAGAAACAGCAAGCCAGAGCAGATGAGAAGTATGCAGGTGAGCAGCCTGGCTCTCTAGACTCAAAACACCTGAATCCTGGGCTGGGCGCAGCAAGCAGAAGACAAGAACTGTATGGGGAGGTCCAGTTATCCAGAGGGCTGATCCTAAAAGGGTAGATCGTGTATACCCCAATCTACCTGACTTCTTCCAATAACTAACAGGGTAGCCAGTCAGCTGGTCACCACTCTACTACCCAGAGGCAGCACTGTGCAGACAGACCTTAGGGCTCTGCTGCTTAGAAACTGGCTTGGGCAAATGATTTTCCTCTCTGTGTTTCAGTTGCTTCATCTTTAAAATGGCAATGATAATCCATACCACACAGAGTAGCTACTATTATGATATTGTCTGTGACCATGTCTTCCTCTTCCATTGAGAGGAAGCTCTTCAAAAGGGCAAGGATCATGTCTTATCTACTCCCACTGTTTTGGGTTTTGTTTCATTTTGTTTTGATGGATTGTCAGAAGGTACATGCTTTCACCAGAAAGAGACAGAGAGAGGGAAAGGGAGAAACCATCCCCTCAATAGGATGGTGGTCATGCTGCATTCTGTTCTCCATTTCTCCATCCTGTCAGGATTTGGGGGATGCATGCACATGCCCCCAATGTGGTTTTATTTTTAATTTTTTAAAGTTAATTAATTATTACATTTAATCACTGTACATCCTTACAGCATACAAAATGATTTTTGCCATCTTGAATACACTACATATTGATCCAGTTGAGGATATTATCATACACATTATTATCAGTAGACAATTTTCCATTTTTGTGTCCATTAAATGCTTTGATTTTCTTCTCCTTGATTTTTCCCCCATTGCCCACCTTTCTCCTTCACTTCTTTAGTTTGCTATTACTATTATTTTTGTTTTAATTTCAAGAAAAGCACTTTTAGTTTTAATGAATCAAAATTAAAAAATGTTTAGAAAAATTTGCTTAAGACTTAAAGTCATTCTTCCAGCCCAACACCCAGCAAAAAGCCACAATCCATGTGCATCTGCATTGGGCCTAGCCCTGCCCCTTTAACTGGAAAGCCTCTAATCCAAACCTCTCCTTCCAGCCCAACACCCAGCAAAAAGCCAGGTAGGGTGGTCTCTTTTTTCTGTCTCTGTCTCTGTCTCTCCCTTCCCCTCTCCCTTTCTCTCAAAATTTTTTCCCTTTTATATGTATATATATTTTTTAAATCTGTAGGTACTGTCTCATCTCTGACCTCTCCTTTCTCTTGCTAATTTCAGAGTCTGTGTGCAGCCCTGCCCCTTTTATGTGTCACACTAGTGCACCTCATGGTTCTCTTTTTTTTACTTTAAAAAAAATTTTTTTTTTCGGGGACCAGAGGTGGCATGGTGGTTAAGGCACTGGACACTCCCACATGGCCGACCATGGTTTGAGTCCTGGACCTGGCACTTTCTCACTTTCCCTCTCTCTGTGTATCTCTCTGGTCAAATTAAAATAAATAAATGAATAAATAAAAAATAATTCTTTCCATTTTTTTTCTTTCCTTTCCATTGTTTTGTCTTTGTGTGTGTGTGTGTGTGTCTTTTTCCCTTTGTTTCCTTTCTTCTACCTGAGTTTCTCACCTTGCTTCTCACCTTCCATACACTGAGGGTCTAGGCAGGTCTTAGGTGCACAGTGACGAAACATCTGAATACTTTTAGGGTCATAGAAAACCTCAGCCCCCACTGAACTGCTACAGAAAGGGAGAAACTCATTTTCATAAATCTAAATTCAAATTCCTTACTGTGCAAAACATAGTAGTAGAGGAGAAATAGGCATAGAACTACCTCACAGTAAAGTGAAGCATATGAGCTTACAGTAACAGAAGTCTAACAAATTAGCCAAACGAGAATATACCACTGAATGACTAAAAATGAGAGAAGAGAGTCTGCAAAGTGAGCAGCTGAGAGAAATACAGAGCTGCAATGAGCGTGGCTCATCTCCTCCCACACACCTCTGAATTATTAGTTAAAACCCCACGGCTCAGCCCAGGTGCACCTATTCCCTTGAAACTGTGAGGCCTTTGTAACATCCAGTTCCATTGACAAAAGTGCAAGTTGCTTGGTGAGGATCAGGGAAATGAAACTGCAGAGATATTGCAGGTCATCTCCTTCTGCATGCCTCTAACACTCAGAATTAACTCCAAGAAGGTAGGAAGTGACGTATAACCCATCAGATGACCAGAAACTACTACAGAGTCACAAGAAATATGGTAAATCAAGAAAATATCTCTCCCCCAAGGGGAAAGAACAGTCTGTCATCACCCACAGACAGTACAATGGAACTCAGAAATGTAAGATAAAGGATTTAGGATATTCATAGTGACAAAGCTAACAGAGGTGCAAGAGAAGAGAGACAATGAACTCCAGAAAATGTGGGAGAAAAAGAGATGAGTTCCAGGAGGTGAGGTAATTTTCCCACGATTTGAAAGAGGAAACACACCATAAAAAAGAATCAAACGGAACTGTTAGAGATGAAGGCTATAGTACAGGAAATCAAAACCTCCCTTGAAAGTATTAAAAGCAGATTAGATCATGCAGAAGATTCAGTCTCAGATGTAGAAGACAGAATCTCTGACCTAGAAAAAATTCACCAGAAAGATTGAAAAAATAACCCAAAAAAATGAGAATAATATACGAGTTATACTAGTTATACCATTAGACACCCAAACATCCATATTCGGTATCCCAGAAGGTGAAGAAACTAATCAGGGCATTGATAATCTATTCTATGAAATCCTGGAAGAAAACTTTCCAAACCTAGAGAGGCATTCAAATATCCAGACCCAAGAATACAAAGGACTCTACATAGGATCAATCCAAGAAGATCTCCAAGGCACATGATAGCCAGATTGTCCAAAACCACAGACAGAGACAAGATACTAAAATCAGCAAGAGGAAAGCGTCAAGTTACTTTCAAAGGATATCCCCTGATTAGGCTAACATCGGATCTCTCGTCGGAAACAATGTAAGCAAGGAAAGAATGGGAAAATATATTCACAGTGTTAAGTGAAAAACAATTTCTTATTTTTTTAAAGAATGATTCAATTTTAATTTTATTTACTCATTCATTCATTTATTTTTAAAATTTTGACACCAACCTCCCCCCCCACACACACAGTGAGAAAACGCCACCAGGTACGGGACTCAAATCATGGTTGGCCATGTGGGAGTGTCCAGCACCTTAACAGCCATGACACCTGATGATCCCCTTGTACCACAGTTTTCTTCTGAAACATTTTTTTCTCTCTCTATTCCTCCTTTTACTATAAACTAACTTATTTGCAAAACAATAAGTTTAGTCTATTATTATAGTCAATTTGGTCTATTATTTGTCCAAAGTCCAATAAGAATACTGATTGATTTAGTAGATGTTCAATGCTGGAACCTTTTTTTTTTTTTTGAGAGATTTTTCACTATAGGGCGTGTGCACTCGCCAGACAGACAGAAAGAGACATAGAGACAGAAAGCGAGAGGGCACCCCCCAGGGGGGATGGTCACACCGCAATCCCTTCTCCTCCATTCTCCTCTCGGGATCTTGGGCACGCACACACACATGCCCGGCATGAGTTTTAAGCCACCGGGTCCGGGACGCGAACTGCGGTTGACTACGTGTGAGTCCAGCGACATAGCCATTACGCTAACTGCTGGTTCCCAATGCTGGAACCTTTTATAAAGAACTTAAGAATAGAATCTTTAAAAAGCTTCCCAAGGCTACTGAGACAAATCAGGACTTCACCTTCTGACTGTGCCTTTAAGTACTTGTACTTAGAAGTTTTGGGGCCTGTCAGGAAGTGACATACTTTACTTACCTGCCAGGCAGAACTGTTTATGGTACCAGGCAGTCTTTTTAAGAACTTCTCTTGGCTTTCTTGAGATCAACCTTAGTTCCTTAGCTTTCTGGTCATATCTTCAGATATGACATTCTAGTCAAAGCCCAGTTGAAGGCAATAACCAACATTTCCAATTTCTGATGCAAGGCAACAGGTATAATACTCACAAATACTTTCCATTTCCAAACGGGTCAGGGAGGGAGACAAGTTTATATTTCAATTCTGTTTACAAAATAATGATAATATTTAACAAATTGCTGAACCTATCAACAGCTCAAAAGAAAACAAAAATCCTTAAATCTGGGAAACAAAGCATGGAAGAAAATCAGTAATGTTTTAGTCAAAAGTCAGGAAATTACATTTCATCAGTTCAGTCTCATGTAGTTTATCTCTCTTCTGTCGAGTTTTCAGTGTTACTGTGGTCCAATCTTTCCATTTAAATCCTGGAAGTTCAGAAATATCATCTCAAAGTTATCAAAAACCTATATTCAAGAGTACTTATCATAGTCTTTTTCATTCATTTCCTTAAAAGAGGCAATTTTTGGATTATAGCCTATCACAAAATGTTTTAGAAAGAGCTTCAGAATAAAACAATTAGCTATGTGCAATGAAACTTAAAATGGCCATGGTTCGAGATCTGATTTTACCATAACCCAAAATTGACAAATTTGATCATTTTTGTGACAAACTACATTAGAACTAGTTAACATTACAAGTATGACTAATAACATACTCTTATATAACAGATATTTATTTAAGAATTTCATACAATTTTGGAACACCCATTGACACAAATTTCTATACACAGAGAGCTAAACACCATTTCATATTTGACAATGTTTCTCATATATTTTCCCAACAATTAGTGTGTTGCAGTCTCTCTCTCCTTTTAGATCTCGCAGTCTTTCCTACACATGTTTGGGTACTCCTGTGTTGGGTGCATAGATATTTATAAGTGTTATTCTCTTCTTGATCAATTAGCCCTTTTACTTCTTGTCTCTTCTTACAGTTTCTGTCTTAAAGCCTATTTTGTTTTAGATCAGTATCACAACTCCAGCCCTTTTCTAGTTCACAGGTTCTAAGAACTGTAAGATCAGTCTGACTGGAATAGGGGGAAAGATGTCAGTACCTCTGTTCCTGCTGTGCCCTCAGCCTAAAATGTCCTTTGCTCTTTTTTCCTGTACATGACATGTATTTCAAGGACCTCTGTTCCTGCTGTGCCCTCAGCCTAAAATGTCCTTTGCTCTTTTTTCCTGTACATGACATGCATTTCAAGGATCACCTACTCCTGGAAGCTTTCCTTTCACCGAGCACCCAAGCCCTCTTAATGCCCTGTATGCTGCTCTGCCATTGCCCTTACCAGATTATAGTCTGATTACCTGTTTCATCTGTCTCTTCCACTAGATAGGGAGTTCTCTGAGAATAGCACCTAATTCCTGGTGTCCTCAGAACTCAACAAATGGTCCTTAGACTGAGGCTCAGAGAGATGAAATTATTTACCCAAGGCCACAGGGATAAGAAGTGGCAGAGCTATTGGGATTCAGGTCCATTGGAGGTACTTTTCAGTTAGACACTTGAAAAATCCTTGTTATTGGAAAGAGTTGCTCCTTCTACATCTCTACAACTCAAGATACTACCCTCTCTCAAACACATACATAAAAGTAGTTGAACAAATGGCTGAATGAGTGAGCCAGGGATAAAGACTAATACAGTGTCCTGGCCATATTTCCCTGTGTAGATATGCTTAGTGACCAGCTATGTCTAGCTGCAGACATGCGGACCAGCCAGCTGGCCAAGATGGAGGAGTTCTCCCGCATAGCCACGATGACTGCCATGGCCAACATCAACAAAGCCCAGGTATGCCCTGAGCCATCTAGTGCACCAGGCTCTCCCCAAACCCCTGAACTAAGTCCTAGGGAACCTTAGCCATATCCTTCCCCTCACAACTACCTCTCAAATTGGCACTAGCCCTCCCATCTACCTGAGGACTCTCCTTCACCTGAAGTCCCTCTTATGGTGCAAGTCACCTCTCCCCACCCACAGATGCAGGATGACTTGAACTCTTATCCCTAGTTTCTCAGTCTTAAGGGCTTCCTGAGGGCACAGAAATTCCCTGACCATTCCACCCCTCCTCCCATCTTAGGGTCATTAAAAGGCCATGCAGTATCTGTTCCTTTTCTCCCTAAGATGGAGTAGGATCATATTCCTCCCTTTCCCAGGACTAAGAGGTCCTTGAGGCTGAGCACCCAAATGCTTACATTTGGGGTTCCCCATCAGGCAGCCGAGGGGACTGAATGGCAGCACTATGAGCATCAGCGCGAACAGAAGGCCAACCTCACAGAGATCCAGAACCAGATCACTAGTGACCTACTGACTGAGAACCCACAGGCTGCCCAACACTCTATGGTTCCCAACCGAGTCCTGCCCTATTGCTGGAAAGGCATGACTCCAGAGCAGCGAGTTGCCATCAGGAAAGTTCAGGAGGCACAATGCCATGAGAAGGAGGCACAGCGCCAAGCCGAACAGGCATTGAGTGCCGAATGGGACAGCCAGACCACACGCATAACCCAGGCAGCACTGGAGCTAGAAGAACAGGAAAGAAAACTGTGTGCTGAATTTCAGAGAGGACTGGGCTCCTTCAACCAGCAGCTTGCTAAGGAGCAAAAATTCCAGTGAGTTCCTGGAGTAGTAGTGGGGAGGAATGCTGGGGAGGCTGGGGAGGGATGGTAAGGACCCAAGAAAGAGAGAAAACTCATCAGCTGAGGCCTCTGTACTTCTTTCACAGGCAGAATTATCTGAATTCAGTAATCTACACCAACAAACCTACAGCCCATTATCACCTTCAGTTTAACACCAGCAGCCGCTGAGCCCAGGATGTTCATCTCTCTCTTCTCCTGTCAAGCTCATAGATGGCTGGGAGTCAAAGAGGAAAATGCTTCAAACCTTCAACTCCAACCCATTCCCCACTGGGAGAGATCTGAGATAGTACCTCCACCTCCTACTTTGGAAATAAAGTTGTTCCAAATCAAGGCCACATGATTTGTTTTGTTTTGTTTTGAGATTTTTTTTGCTATAGGGCACATGCACTTGCCAGAGAGACAGAGATAGAAATCAGCCCCCCGGATGATAGCCATACTGCAATCCCTTCTCCATTTTCCTCTCGGTATCTTGCGCATGCATGCACACATGCCTGGTATAAGTTTTAAGTCACCAGGTCTGGGACTCAAACCTCAGTCAACTACATAGGAGTCCAGTAACGTAACCATTATGCCATCTGCTAATCCCTTGTTTTTTTGTTTGTTTTTGGAGGTTTTTGCTATAGGACGTGTGCGCTCACCAGAGAGAGAGAGAGAGACAGAGAGACAGAAAGCGAGAAATCACCCCCAGGGGGATGGCCACACGGCAATCCCTTCTCCATTCTCCTCTCAGGATCTTGGGCATGCACTCACACACACCCAGCGTCCGAGACTCAAACTGCAGCCGACTACATGGGAGTCTAGCAACGTAGCCATTACGCCAACTGCCCCTTCCCCTTTGTTTTGTTTTTATGAGATTTTTGCCATAGGGTGCACTTACCAGAGAGAGAGAGAGTGAGAAACCACCCGCCCCCAACCCCCCCAGAAGGGATGGTCATGCTGCAATCCCTTCTCTTCCATTCTCCTCCAGGGATTTTGGGCACACATGCCCAGCATTGAGTTTCAAGCTGCTAGGTCTGGGACTTAAACCAGTCAGTCATGTGGGAGTCCAGTATCTTAGCCACTATGCCACCTGCTAGCCCCCAAGGCCACATATTTTAACAGGACACAAAAAGTAGGCACTGCCTTCCCTGTTCCACCCCAGAGCTCTGAGCATCCAACCCTGTCAGAGCCTTTCCTTTTCTTTCCCACACCAGTTCCCTCCAGCACACACCACTGCACATACCCTGTGAAAATTATTTAGACTTTATTTAGTAAAGAATATTATTTAGACTCTAGTAAGCCTAAAATTATTTAGATTTTATTAAGATTTTATTAGGCACAGAGGGTGACTAGTAGGCAGTTACAAAGTGGCTATTGGGCTTCCTCCAGGCTGAAGCGGTACCTCAAGGGGAGGAGGGGCAGAGGAGCATGTGCTTTCTCTGCCTTCTCCCTTCAAGGCTGCATGCGGAGCGCCCCATCCAGCCGGATGACCTCTCCATTGAGGAACGGGTTCTCGACGATGGCTTGTACCAAATGAGCATACTCAGCAGGGTCGCCCAGTCGGCTCGGGAAGGGCACCTGGCTTGCCAAGAAGTTGCGCACCTTCTCTGGGAGGCTGGTCAGCAGTGGGGTGCCAAATAGGCCTAGATAAGACAGCCAGAGTCAAGAGAGCCAACCTTGCTTTAATATTTATCTGATCTTTTCTCACTTTAGCCCTAATTCTTAGTACTTCCCTGGGACCCTGCTGTGCTTAAGTGATGGATACCTTCCCTTCTCAACTGCCCACTGACCCTACCCAATCCCGGGTGTGGCAGAGAGAAGGGATATGTCTACCTGGAGCAATGGTCACTACCCGGATGCCTATGGAAGCTAGATCTCGAGCAATGGGCAGTGTCATGCCCACTATACCCCCCTTGGAAGCAGAGTACGCAGCTTGTCCAACCTGGAGAAGGAGGAGAGGTCATAGGTCAGAGGGTCCCAACAAATCACTGAGGAGGTACAAGCCTTGCCCCTTCCCACACACCTGGCCTTCAAAGGCAGCTACACTGGCAGTGTTGATGATGACCCCACGTTGGCCTCCCTGGTCTGGTTCATTCTGGCCCATCTCTCCAGCCACCAGGCGGATCACATTGAAGGTACCTATGAGATTGACCTGGAGGGCAGGTAGAGACATGGTATAGAAGAATCTAAGGCAGAGACAGTCTTTTGTCCCCTAAAATGTTTCTTTTTTGGGGGGGGAGTCAAAGCTATCCACCTCTAACTTCTATCCCTAGAGAATCCCCAAGGCCTTACATTGAGAACTCGCTGGAAGTCCTCCAAAGTATGGGCCTGGTTCTTCTTTAAGTTGTATGTCTTCATGGCTACTGCAATGCCTGCACAGTTGACAGCCACATCCACACGGCCAAACTTTTCTTTTGCTAGAGTCAGGGCTGCTTGTATTTCCTTCTCAGAGGTCACCTTCAGAAAGAGAAGTGGAGGAAGTATTCATCTCCCTATGTATGTGTGCATACTGCACACACACCATTAAAGCTGCAGGAGGGCAGGCCCAGTCCTTAGGGGAGAACAGAATTGTGTGAGATAAGAGAAAGGGTTGTGGCAAAGAAGATGGGGGCAAATTTGAAAATGTTAGATACTACAGAGCAGTATTGCAAAACATTTTTCAAATCTGTACCCTCGATGGCTGTTGATCCCATCAGGAATGAGAATGATTGATAGGGATAACAAAAAAGCTAGTTTATCTTCCTATCTGCTCAGATGGTTTCATCCAGCTTTACTTTTCCATAGTTTATTTCATAAAATCAAGTTTTTTTGAATTTGTAAATACAAAATTTCGGAATACAGCATGCATTTTCAAACTATGCATACCTTTTCCAGGAGATTCTAATATGCCCAATTCCAGTCTCCATTGTTGTGAACCCAGCTTGGGAGAGTCCTTATCACAGGTACTCCCACAGTGACCACTGTACTTAAAAAGGCAAGGAGATGGGTCCACTGCTCCCACAGATGACACTTTATGGGAGGGATCCCCACTTTATGGGAGGTTCCCAAGTTGGTGTTAGGGACCTCAAGCATACCCTGGAAGAGGAGAGGTGACCCCACTTACGTCGGCCGCGGCAAAGATGCATTTCTTTCCTAACTTCTTGGCCTGGGCCTCCCCATCCGAGTTGGGCAGATCCAGAAGAACAGCAGTGGCCCCCTGCCCCACCAGTCGCTCCGCAGTAGCCAGGCCCAGACCTGAAGCTCCTCCAGTTATTATTGCGACCAGGCCCTATGAAGAGGGACACAGTCAGGGCAATACTGTCCACCTCGCTCCTACCCTTTCACTTACTTGCCCTTTCTCCAGTCTTCTGTGGAGAAGGGGTGGAGGGTCCTGGTCATCCGCCGATAGCCAGTCCTGTCACCCCCATACGCATGCCGCGGAATGCTTTCACCTTCCGAACATAATCACGGCAATACCAGGCCTAGATAAGCATGACCCTTTCTCCTGGAAGCATGAGCTCTCCCCACTAGTTCCCAGCCGCGCCGCCGCAGCCTTGCTTGCTTGGGAACAAGCAGAAAAGGCAAAGAACCTTCTACCTTCACGCTCCTACACGCCGCAGCCATCTTGCATCGGCCTGGGGTGGGAGGAGGAGCTGCCCTGACGCTCGCTGATTGGCTGAGGTGGAGGCGCGGGGCGGGGGCTATAGGGCGGGGACGTCCACTGCGAGGTAAATCCGGGCGAGGTCTGCTGCTTCTGTCGGTTGGTGAAGGGTGAAGGGTTTGGTTAACGTGCGCCCAGGAGGCTCTTTAGTCTGGGGAAGGAGCCCAACGGCAACAGCATAGTACCACCACATCCTCGGTCCTACCCTCTACCTGACTTTTTGGGCAGGCAGCCTGCTCACTTGAGGGCGGGGGAAACCAAGTCCCTTTCTTTTTGGAGAGGTTTTTGCTATAGGGCGTGTTCGCTCGCCAGAAAGACGGAGAGAGACAGAGAGATAGAAAGCGAGAAATCACCCCCCAGGGGAATGGCCACGCCGCAATCCCTTCTCCTCCATTCTCCTCTCGGGATCTTGGGCATGCACGCACACACGCCTAGCCTGAGTTTAAGCCACCGGTTCCAGGACTGAACTGTGGTCGACTACGTGGGAGTCCAGCGACATAGCCATTACGCTAACTGCTGGTCCCACCAAGTCCCTTTCTCCTCAGAAGAAAACCTTCTTCAAGCATAAATGTGTCTCAGACTCCTATATACCAGATTCTGTGTAAGGCACTAGGGATGCCCAGAAGAATGATTAAAAGTTCATGTTTTCCAAGAGGGCATTGTCCAGTTGGAAAAAATAATTACAGTACAGACAGATGTAAAAGAAGGGACAAAGAACCCAATTCCGGACACACAAACAGGGGTTCAAAGATGGAGATTATGGGGGGCCAGCAGGTGGCAGAATGGTTAAGGCAGGGACTCCCACATAGCCAACAGCAGTACGAGTTCCTGACTAGTGGCTTGAAACTCACATGGGCCTGCACAGGCGTGTGTGTGTGTGTGTGTGTGTGTGCACGCACGCTCAAAATTCCAGAATGGAGAAGGGATTGCAGCATGGTTATCCCCATGGATGATTGATTTCTCCCTTTCTGTTCCTCTGCTGAGCACAGGCACCACACACAAAATCAGAGGTGAACATTTTCATTGACTTGGCCTTTGTTCATCACCTCTCGCTATGTCTAATCTATTTTAGGACCAAAACCCCAAATCACACATTATAGAAAAGACCTCAACCAGAGACTGTTAAGACCCAGATCTTTGGGTGTTCTGGAACATCTTTCAGTCAGCGTGCTAATTAGAATCTTGAGCCCTGACATCTAATCTGTCTTTCTTCTATACTTTTTTTTTTTGAAAAGTTTTTGCTATAGGGTGCATGTGCTTGCCAGAAAGACAGAGAGAGACAGAGAGACAGAAAGTGAGAGATCACCTGGGGGGGGGGGCGAGGGCCCGCGGGCCATCCCCTTCACTCGATGGCCATGCTGCAATCCCTTCTCCTCCTTTCTCCTCTCTGGATCTTGGGCACACACGCACACGCGCCTGGCATGAGTTTAAGCCACTGGGTCCAGGACTCAAACCATGGTTGACCACATGGGAGTCCAGCGACATAGCTATTACGCTAACTGCTGGTCCCTCCTCCCATACTTTTCCCCAAACCAAGGTCTTCAGGCCATAAGTCTTGGCCTACATTTCCTGCCTTGTAACTGCATTATGTTTCCTTTATCTGAAGTATCTCCCCAACTGCTTTCCCTCCAGTAAGACTTCACTCATGGTTACTACACCATATTCATCAAAGGATTTAGCACCAGACTGACAGTCTTATCTATAGGAAGTGCTCCCATCAACTTGTAGCACTCTTCACCAAACTCAATATGCTCCAGCTGGAGTGGCCTCTTTTGTGTTCACCTTTGCTTTGTTTTTTTTTTTTGCTTTTCTTTTTAAAAGTTTTCTTTTATTTATTTTTTTTCATTTATTTTAATTTGACCAGAGAGAGACACAGAGAGAGAGGGAAAGTGAGAAAGCCAGCCACCAGGTCTAGGACTCGAACCGTCGACAGCCACGTGGGAATGTCCAGCGCCTGAACCACCACGCCACCTGCTGGCCCTTGTTTTTTGCTTTTTAAATAAAGTTTATTGGGTCAACCAGTTAAGGCGGCTGGATCGCACATGGACAACTGAGCAGTTCAAGTCTTTTACCCAGTAACCTGAAAAACATCCCAGGCATGTCTATATGTGTGCCCAAAACCCCAAGAGGAGAATTGGGGGAGAAGGGGTTGCTGCATGGCTATCCCCCCCGGGGGGGGGAATGATTTCTTACTTTTCCTCTCTCTGTTTTCTCTGGCAAGTGCATGTACCCTATAGGAAAAACTAATATATATATATGTGTGCGTGTGTATAATTAATGAGTGAGAACACAAGCACGCATGCACATGAGAGAGAGAGAGAGACCCTCAACAGAGTCTCATCATGCCGTAATCTCCTCCTTGTCTTCCAGCTTATCAAAATCTTAAATGTGCATGGGTACCCGACATTTTTCGGATTGACTTGGGACTGAAACTCTGATCAGCCTTGTGACTTCCAGTACCTCAATTCAGCTGTGGCACTGAGGCTGGGTCCAAGTTCATCTATCCATTATTTGTTCCCTCAGTTTGGAATACTTTTACCCTGATCTTTGCATAACTGTGTCTTTTTTTTTTCTCAGTTACTCAGAACAAATATTAAATGTTATCTCCCTAAAGGGGTCCTCCTTGGCACTCAAGCTGTAGCTACCTAGTATTCATTCTCTGCATAGTGCTTACAGATGCATAATCCTGTTTCCAAACAGGTATGCCTTGGAATTCAGATTTTTTTTCAATTTTAGAAATGAAGATATGTAATCTATATTACATAACTCATTGTGCTGCATATATTCTCTATTACATAATTACTGAGAAAGGTCTGGAGCACCATAATTAAAAATATTTCTAAAGTGAAAGGTATGACAATTCACACTAAGAGAGAATAGAGACCATAAATAGTCTCATACTACTTCAGGTTAAGTTTTGTCAGTTAATGAGTTTGGGCTTCAAAGTATAAAAAAAATTCTTATGCTTTTCAGAATTTTGGCATTGCGCATTTGTGTCTAAAGGCTCATGAGCCTCTACAAGGTCTAGCCTGGCCTCTTTTGTGTAGTTCGCACCTGGCTGGAAGGTAAGCCCAATGGCACCAAGGTCTTGTCCAGCTAGTTCATCTCTGGCCCCACAACCTAATGCCAAGAGTGCTAGTGGGGCCAGCAGGTGGCATAGTGGTTGAGGCACTGTACTTCTAAATGACCAACTGTAGTTCGAGTCCTGAACCTGGTGACTTGAAACACATGCTGTGTACTTGCGTGCATGCCTGAAATCTCATGGGGAAGGGATTGTGGCGTGGCCATCCCCACTGGGGGGGGGGATGATTTCTTGCTTTCTCTCTCACTGTCTCTCCAGCAAACACACACACCCTATAGCAAAAATCTCTCTCTTAAAAAAAAAGTGTCTAGTACTGCTTGGTATATACTAGATACTCAATACGAATCTGTTGAATGAATGAATGAACAAATGAGCCTTTAGAGAATTTGTAGGACCAGCTTCATGATTCCTTCACTTGCTTAATTACAGGGATCTCCACCTTTCTACCTACCTATCTAGGCCACATTATTGCCCTTGAACCAGTAACACCCAGCATTATGTCACATTCATAAGGGATATTAGTTAGCTCTACCAGGAAATAGAGAAAAAACAAAGGTGTTTTTCACTCCTGGGAGATAAAAATCACAACATTTCACCCTTATAGGGACTTTCTGTTACCTCTGTAAGGATAGAGCTGCACTGACTCTGAAGCAACATTTGGAAATATAAAGAACCCCATCTTGGGACCAGCAGTTAGCTTAATGGCTATGTTGCTGGACTCCCATGTAGTCGAATGTGGTTCGCATCCTGGACCCGGTGGCTTAAAACTCACGCCGGGCACATGTGAGTGCGTGCCCAAGATCCTGAGAGGAGAACGGAGGAGAAGGGATTGCGGCATGGCCATCCCCCCTGGGGGGTGATTTCTCACTTTCTGTTTCTTTTTTTTTTTTTGGAGAGATTTTCACTGTAGGGCGCGTGCGCTCGCCAGACAGACAGAGAGAGACATAGAGACAGAAAGCGAGAAATCACCCCCCCGGGGGGATGGTCACGCCGCAATCCCTTCTCCTCCATTCTCCTCTCGGGATCTTGGGCACGCACGCACACGCGCCCGGCGTGAGTTTTAAGCCACCAGGACACGCCGCCCTTATAGCAAAAAACCTCTCAAAAAAAAAAAAAAAAAAGATGAACCCCATCTAGATACAGAGCAACCAAATGTGTACCTGTGATTTCTGAGGGAGTTGGAATGTATCAACCTAAAAAAGGTAAACTGAAGAAAAACATATAAAGCAGGGACTTTATTTCGGCATAAATTTGAGGATTGCCCAAGAGTGCAGCACAGATGAGCATAATTCAAGTAGTGCCAAACCTGCTCACCGAGACCTTACAATCCTTAGATGGGTTTTAAAGGCAAAAACCACATGTGGGAGGGGAGGGGAGAGAGGGAATTATAGTAGTCATCTTTGAACAATTATCCTTGACTACCAGAATCAATAATAAGGGCTGTGCCAGTCCAAGATTGGACAGGCAGTCTCTAGGGAGATGTTTTTACAGAAGTAGTCTTTGTGTCAGGTTGCAGTGGTCTTTGTACAAGGTTGTGATTCTGGCAGAGTTCTCTAAATAACAGTTCTCATTACCAGGCATACTAGCATGGGAAAACACCTCTTCCATGGCCTTTCTGGCTCAATTTAGTCAGGGTTTTAGCACAAATTGACACAAATGACTCCATTTTGATTCTGAAAAATTTTCACAGGCACAATTAGAATGAACAGGTTAAACTCTTAAGGAGTGAATGTCATGTGAGAATCACTGTGTTGAGCCTCTGAGAGTGTGGTGAGGACATATGCATGCTCAGTGCCACTTTGAATAGATGGGGCTGATGTCTGAAAGAACCTATGCAATGCTTAAGGTCATGATGACTTTACCATTCCCTGAATCAAAGGTTGCTTTAGTCTTTGTGTAATCAAACTTTTCT